CAAGACCATTAAAACAGATAGGGGGTTGTTAACACCTGTGAAGTGGAGAGGGATTAGCAGGAATCAGGGGGAGGATAATGAGCCAGGAAGTCAATTGACTGTCTCAGCACTGACATTATAGAAATGCTGGTGCCCCACACCGGTGGCTGCCTATGTGTGGACAGGGGGGGAGGGGCCTGGGGCAGCACAATCTCTTCTCCTCCCCTTTTCCACCTGGAGGCACATGTGCAGCTGCTGCTGCCATGGCAGTGCCTGTGCTCTGGAGCCTGGTGCTGCTGCTGGCTGCCTGCTGCAGCTTTCCAGAGCCTGGGCCAGCTGTGGTAAGCAGCTGGGAGGCTGCAAACAGCTTCACCAGGCTCCAGAGCCCTTGACTGGATTCCATGGTGGCAGTGGCTACATGTGTACTTCTGGGCACATGGCAGGGGAGGAGCTGGGGTTGTGCTGCCCTAGGCCGACCTTCCAGAGGCACGTGGTGCAGCTGTTTGCAGCCTTCTGGGGTACAGGGCAGAGAACAGGTTGAAGCAGTGCAACCCCTGCCACTTCTTCACCGTCTACCTGGAGGGGTGCATATAGCTACTGCCAGCAGCAAGGATTGGGCCCCTCATGGTTCCCTTGCCATCTGCCCCTGGCATGCTAACTTGAGTTGTGGGTTAGGGTTGGGGTGCTTTTGGCTCTCTGTTCAAAAATATTGCCAACCCTTGATCTAAACCATATAGTCCTTGTTTTGCCTGGTGGCTGCTTTTTATGTCTTACAGTGACTAGTGGGATCCCTCAGGCCCCAACTTCTTTTCTCCTAACCAACTCTTTTGTTCTTAATATGGAGCATTGTTTAGTGCAGAAATATTGGCCAATTCACAAAAGAGCTGTCAGAGATTTCCTTTTTCCCTTACTTTCTCTGGTGTGTGCTCCTCTTCCTTTCTCTCTCTCCTTCTCCTGAAGTACACATTTTTTTTCATTTCTAGCTGCATGTTCCTCTCTTGCCACTCCCTTCTTTCTTGCCACACACATTTTTCTTATTCATCCTTAGTCTTTCATCTGGCAATGACAAATTTATAATGAAAATATACCATTAGTTATATGAAAATAATTAGCATCATGCTAAACATATTTCTAACTGGTAGATTAATAAGGAAAAGCTCCCATCCTTTTATGTGAAAACATGGATATCCAATTATATCAGTGTACGTTAAACTTTGTCAAAGAAACTGTCTAAAAGTCTTTAGACAACTTGATGCCAAAGGACTGGAGATGTTCAGAACATAATAGAAGGCAAAAATAAGTCTCCATGTAAAGTTGGAAAGGAAAAGTTTTAAAGATGTGTGAGTTAATTATCAAATCCTTACTTTTAGTGCTTAAGAAAGGATGGGTGCTGAAATCAGTGGGAATATACCCTGAATAAAAACTGGATTGGATACAGTGGTATTATATGTTAGAAAAAATAGCTGAAGTGTAAAAAGTACTAGAGATGCAGTTAAAACAAGCATTATTCCAGTTAATAAAGATCTTAAGAAAATGGCTTCTTTTTTATATTTCAGGGCTGTTTGCAGAGGTTTTGAGTTAACTGGTTATGTCTACATATGGGAAAACTACAGAATCTGTGAACTGCCATGGGACTCATCATGGACATGGTATTTGACACTACTGGGAGTAGACTTTACATATTACTGGTTCCATCGCCTGGCTCACGGTAGGACTTCAACACAGTTTTCATTTATTTGCATATATACATACTGCATTTTAATCATCTATACATATTTGATTCTCAGGGAATGATAAAGATTAGCTTGTACGGAGCAGGAAAAACAGATTTTAAAGCTATTTTGAATAATGTAGACATGAATTTGGTAAAATATAAGAACAAGAATTTTAAAAAATATTGTCCTAAATACTAATAGAAAATCACATAAAAACACAGGGATATTGTACATCTATTGATCTAATCTGTGCTTATCAGTGTCACGTAAACCAAGGGATGCAGTAGATTGACTTCTAAGGTCACTTCATTCTTTTTATCATTTTGTGGAATAGGAGGATCGTTTTGGACTAAGTACTTTATAAAAAAATATAAAGAATCCTTTCTTCAAAACAAATACATAAAAAGGGCGGGGGAATGAAAAGAAATACATAAACAAAGGTGCCAAAATGATGGTAGTTGCAAAAAATTTTTTTTATCTGTATATGTTTAGCTGTTGCATAATTAAAAAATAATGTTTTTGTTTATATATTCAACAAATCTTTTAAAATTTTTATAGTTAACACAGTGCTATTTTAATTTAGCCCTTGCCTGTCTTTATTTTTAAAAGTGTATATCTAACCGTAGCTTCTTTCTCACATAAGAATAACTAGTGTGGATTAAGATGTCAGTTGATATGGTGGTAGTGGCCATATACATAATTAAGGAACCTGAGTGGATAGATATTTCTATGCATACCACATTACCATATAATTCTAATAATGTATTTTATAGCAATGTTGTCCATGTAGACTTCTCTATCGAGTCTTCTAGCTAGTTACATGCTCCTTCTATTATCACAGTGTTTATTTGTTCCAACCTTTCCTGTTCTAAATGTAAAATTTAAAAAATTTTAAAAATTAAAAATAGAGCCTGATCCAAAGTTCCCTGAAATCATATTATCTTTCTATTGTCTAAGTGACCTTGGAGCAGGCTGCTTAAGACACAGTGCCCTTAGTTTTGTGGAATGATGGCTGTATATGATATTAAAGTTTTCTAGAATGTATATTCAAAGGGATGACATTTCTGGTAAAAATAGATCTGTGGAAAACCTGGAAACAGGTAGGGATTAATATGAGTTGGTGCACTGAGTGGGAGTGAAGAATCCCATCACAATGGGAACAATGCTAATTGAAGAGGGAATAGGGTTGGATCAGGACTAGAACAATGAAGGGTGGATGCTTAATTAGGTGGAAGGGGAAGAGGGGAATCAGACATACAATAATACCATAGGAGAGGAACTCCAAATTTCATTGGGGAGAGAGGTGGGTGGGAGGTGAGGAAGTGGACAGGAGTTGGAACAATACAAGAGAGAAGGGGAATTTACATCATGGTGAATAGCTCAAATTTGTGCGTGGGTGTGAGAGAGACTGGGAATGCTTCACAAACAATGACATTAACAGTACTAGCTGCACAAGATCATCATGCTGAGAACTGGAAAAATTCGGAGGACAGTCTCATTTTTTTAAATAAAAATTTTGATAACTGGAAGTATTGTTTGAAAATCATTCTAGTGATCTGAAGATGCTCGCCAGAAACAAAACTCTTGTTAACAGGAGAAAGCAGGCATAGTCTTTATAGTGCTAAGCAGTTTCTATAAATTATTTTTCTAAGAATTCATTCAAGTTCTTTTATATCTTGAGAGAAGAGAAGCAATGCTGTGCTAATACGTTCTTGTAATTCCACATTTTTACATGGATTGCTTAAAATCTAAAAGTGGTATTTAAAATCTAAAAATCCAGTTCATACATAATAGTCTTATCACCTGTACTTGAGAAAGTTATATTACGAAACACTAAGCTGGTCCAAAGGATGTTGTTGTCATGCAAACATATCTGTGCTTTGAAAGTACAATCAAGTTGCTGAATAGCAGTTCTGTCTTACAAATCAGTGAAAAAATACAACATTCTTTTAGAAAACCACTTTAAATACAGATAAAAGCTTAACTCTGTTTCAGGAATGCTAAAAAGCAACATCAAAGCAATAAGGCCGTTAAACCACATATCACCTCAGATCTTGCTAAGCAAATCTAATGGAAGAGGCACCTTTTAAAGAATAAAGCTGAGACTTGTAGGAAGACAGTGCACAACTTTTTTTTTGTACACTGAACCCTCATTGTGAGTTTGAACATTACTGTTAGTTATAATAGAAAGTTATCAAGTGCCTTTTGGAATTCATAACAGATCCCTACAACAGTGCTAGTATCAGTAACACATGTATACCAGCATAAATATATGCATTTTTTAGCAAGTGAATGTTAACACCATTTGGGTATGGACAAATGTCCATTTTAGCCACTTTAAAAGAAGAGGGAAAGCATACATCAACTGTTTTACAGACCTGTGTGAATAGGAAAGTATTCAATTTGGATTCGGCCGATTCAAAGGACAGTGATTTGATCAGCGATTTGGATAACTGTCCCAAATCAATTTGGCCAAATCGGCTTTGGAAGATTCCACACTGATTCGGAGAGATTTGGTGATTTGGCCATAGACTATAATGGAGAATCACTGATATACCTATAACTTTGTCATTTTCTGGCAAATTTGGATGAAAACAGCAGGGATGGTAGCCCCTTCTGAGGGCATGAAGTCTGTCAAGTTTCAAGGAGATAGGTGCAGGGGTTTCTGGGAAAATACACCTCAAGCTTCTGAAAGCAAAACTTATGTGCCCCCCAAGACTAAGTTGCCCATGCACTGAATAGCTGGAGAAATATATCTTAGCAAGCTCTCGGGTTTAAAAACCCTTTGTCAGGATGAGGAAGCACCTAGTTGGTGTGTGTGTGCTCTTCCTAGATGAAGTGAATAGTGAAGAAGTCAGAGGCTGGCATGTAATGCAGGAAAGGAAGCCAGTTAGTGAAAATATAATTGAGGTTTCAGGGGGTGAGAGACAGATTGGAGAGGGGGGTGGCGAAGGGGGGATGTAGCAGGTAAAAGTGGAGAGGTACGTGGGGAGTTGGATGTTGGGCAGGTTATAGTGTGTCATAAATCCAATGTCTGTATTGAGTCCATGAGTTTCTGTATGTAGGAGGTTGACGAAGTGCAGCTCATAGGCTTGTCTGTGAAAAGTGGTTTCTGAGTTCTCTTTGAGGATAAGGCTTGAGACATTGGAGACAGAATGCCTTTCCCATGAGAAATGTGTACCCCAGGTTGTTGTGTATTCTTGTCTGTAATAGATTGTATTAGTATGTTGGCAGGTTTTGCATTTCTTATCATGGCATGATCTAGATCAGGGGTAGGCAATGATATTTGGCCGGAGTGCCAAAAAACCCACAATGTCTACCTTGGAAAGTGCTGGAGTGCCGACATGCTAGAGCCCAGAGCAGCTGTTTGCAGCCAGCCCACAGAGCCCAGTCTGTTTGCAGCAGGGCTTGCAGCGTCCCAGCCACCTGCTGGGAGTAGCCTGGGCTGCTTAGAGCCCGGGCTGGCAGTAGTGTGCCAAGCAAAATGGCCTTGCGTGCCATGCTCGGCAAGTGTGCCAGAGGTTGCTGACCCCTGGTTTAGATACATTTGGTATGTTTTGGGCTGCAGACAGAGGCTTATATGCTGTTTCTACATCCCACCCCCCCAGAGTACTGCAATTGGAAAGGGACTCAGGGAAACAAAAGTCACTGGCCAGCTACAGATGTAAGTCTCCCCTCCCTCTGCTCAGTTTCTGTTCCCCTGCAAGACTGCCTTCTGAATCTCCAAATATTTTCCAAATCTTTTCTGAATTGATTAGGAGGCTTCCCCCCCCCCCGATACAATTTGGTTTTGGTGATTCAGCCTCCGAATCAGGTTGAATCTTCTCCAAATTGAATTGATGACTGAAGCTTTGCCATATCCCTACTGTTTTAGTCTCTTATGTCTACATGATCCTACAGCAGTAAATATAAATCACCCTTACTTTCTCCTTGAATGAAGCAAGTTAAAATTGTAGTGATTTTGCTGCATTTGTATCACTGCAGAATCATGCAGATATAATAACTGAATTTTAACAGTTTATATCAGTATTCTCTTAGTATCAATGTACTTGTATCTTTCTTTCTTTTCTCTCTAAGGACTAAAGATTTAGGACTTGCTAGTGTTTTAAAATGTGTTTATGTTTGAGATAATATTGTTGCACTTGAATTTATGATAGTCAGCTTATTTTTCCTTTTCAAAAATGAAATGTGGTCATACAATCTGCTGGCCAGTTAATACTTATAATATTTATTCATTACTTCATTCATTCATTGTATTAGAATCCAGAAAATTATGCAATCAAGTATTTCTTTTGTAAAGTAAACCTTTTCAAATACAGCTTTAATTTGGTCAGAAGTTTTTTCCATCTTCCTAGTGTCTGAGTAATAGCCATTAGCATAAAACAGGAATCATGCAACTGTAGCCAGAACACCACTGAAGACCTCCCGAATTGTAAACATAAACTATGACAATTTGAATGAAAACTGTATAGCTGGGGGCTGTAACAACTCCTACCCTCTGTGAATTTGGACAGTGATTTCAAATGCACTTTCAGACTTTTGTAGGGACTTTCAAACATACTTAACAGCAGAATTTATCAGAGTAGCTCTTTGCCTGGGGCAGCTGCCACATGCAGGTAAGTCAGTGCCAGCTTCTGGGCTGCCAGTTGTAGTGGCATGTCCAGATCCTTTCTAAGCTCCCATGCTGTCTCAGGATGGGAGGGGGATCTATTCTGGGGTTTCCCCAGCCTACTCTGGAGTGGGGGTGGTGGGCGGATTGGAGCCCCCAACCTTGACAGGGCTCCAGTCCACCTGCCCTTCCCTCCAGCACAGGCTAGGCAACCCCCAGACTGAACTCACTCCCCTCCTCTCTCCCCCTCCCATTCTGAAGACAACGCCCAGAGGAGGGCTGGACTGTCAGCCCAGCCCTGTTCCTGGTGCGCACTGACAGATATCAATGAAGGTGCTCCATTTTGGAGCGCTTTCATCTGAACCCTCATACAGCAAGGGTTCA